ATGATGAAGCTTCTTGGATGAGAAGTGAAATGTCTTCTTCTTCCTCAAGTAGAAAAACAGTGCAGTTACCTTTTTGAAAATGCACCTTTGAGAGAACTATGTCCTGAAGAACTGAGAATCTCCATAGACATAAAGATTTAAAGTTCTCATTATGCAGTATTCCTGTGCTCCAGGATCACATATGATCCTGGACCACAGACTTCTGATTTTCCCAAAGAAAATATACTAAACAAGAATAGGCACACTGGAGAGGAGAACAATAACAAAATTTAAGGTGTGAAGATACATATGAGCCCCTTTTATATCCACAAACAATAGAATTCAGTTCCCGCTGCTAAATGCCAGTGCTGTGCAACTCAAACAGTCACAACAGATCAACAATGGGAAAAACATGGTTTCTGGGTTAATTTCAAAAGCGATCTGTTCAGATTTCTGGTCAGATCAACCTGAAAAGGGTAGCCACCATTTATAGCTTTCTTCAGTTTTTCCAAAATAAAACTAGCTGCCTTTAGCATAACATCAGAACTGTTAGGAGTCTTTAAATTTAGCTATTTTAATTTTCGGCTCTGTTAATCTTCTGACAACTATCTGGTGAGTGTAGTCTCCAAGTTAAGAAGACTTTGTCAATATTTTAACATTTCCTTTAAGGCTGCCCATTTCATTGCCTCTCTGTGAAGCCCTGGACTATCTCAAAGAAACATACCGTCTCCAAAAGTAGAAATCGCTTGAGCAGGAGAGAAATGGGAAGGGCAAGCCTATCACCTTTCTGGCAGGAGTCCTAAATATGCATGCCAATTGTCCAAACTGCAGTGTTTATTCATGGAACAGAGGTCTCTGCTCAAGGAAAATCCTCCAATAGATGAAAGCATGAGTAATAACGAAGTTGGCATCAAACTGTTTAAAAGGGAGATAAGCCGCTGAGATCAGGTTCTAAGAGAGCTGCCCTTTATCTGTTTTATAGATGTCCCAAATGCAAAAAGAGAGAATATAAAAATCATGTCTTAATGCTTGTTCCTGCAATACTTTAAACAAGTACTGAAGTCAGCGAGCCCAAAGACTGGATCAGCCATGGATTAAGAATGTGTCTATCTGGGAGCTGCAGCCAAAAGATTTAAGTCAAAGCCCTTTCGTAGGATCCAGGAGTAATAAGAATGATTCTGAACATATCCCTTCCAGAGCCTTGCTTGGCAATAAAAATTCTAGCACTCCTCTGTGTTCCTAAGTCAAGGACTATTTCTACACAATAAAATAAATGCATGAATCGTGAATCTAAAAATTTGGCCATAAGGTTGAACCCCAATCACTCATTTTGCTAATATTTTATTTGTGAAAATAGCAGACATAACAAGTTTGGGTTAAAAGTTGACTTTTAAATAAACTTGACCTAAAGAGACAGAAATGAATGGATTGTTAGTTAGCATCAGCAAAAGAAGCATGTTCTTCTGATGCTTCATCTTTACCAGCATCATCAAGTGTATGGGTTTATAAAAGCAAGTTGCGCTATAAAGAGCTCATTAGTTTGAGACATCCAGATCAAAGAGCTTCTGCCTATGAGCCATTACCTCACTCCCACAAGCTCACCCAGGCATACTGCCAAATCAGATTCATCTAAACACGAATGGGTAGCAAATCATCTGAGCTCACTCCACTAGGTCTCCAGATTTCTAAATATGAAATGCAGGCAACCATCATCGGGAGCAGCTTAGATCATGCATGCATGTAGAAGAACAAATGCTGAATCATTTCTGGGTTCTGGAACATCTCTGAATTCTCCTTTGGGCTACATCCTACAGCATTCAGAATACGGTATAGCTTAACTTCAAGGCACTACAGAGCTACCCTGACACCTCTTTTTTTGTAACAAGTGAACTTACCAGGATTGTGCTTATATTTCTAGAAAACAGCTCAGTGTGCATCTTTATTTATTTTTAGCTGTTTATCAAATGTATACGCCGCCCAACTTGCCTAAGTGATTTTGGGTAGTTTACAAATAGCAATAGGAATAAGACATATTCATATTGCAACAGCTTGCCTCCAGAGTTGTGAATGCCCCAACTCTAGAAGTCTTTAAGATGTTGGATAGCCATTTGTCTGAAACATCATAGGGTTTCCTGCCTAGGCAGGGGGTTGGACTAGAAGACCTCCAAGGTCCCTTCCAACTCTGCTATTGTATTGTATTGTATTGTATACATACCACTCCATGGAGCTGTATAGCCCTCTCTATACTGTTTACAGAGTCAGCATACTGTCCCTCAACAATCTGGGTTTCATTTTACCAACCTTGGAAGGGTGGAAAGCTGAGTCAGCCTTGAGTCCCATCAGGACTGAAGTTCAGGCTGTAGGCAGAGTTAGCCTGCAATATTGAATTTTAATCACTGCATCATCAGGGATAATTACAAATAAAAACCCTGCAGCCATATATAAGATACAATGATAAAAACAAAGTTAAAAGCAGGACTAAAATCAACTTTAAAATGTTTAGAAAGCTGAGGTATCACACTCTCAGGCCACTAACCAGCCCCTCTGTTGCTCAGATGCTCACATTCTCATGACACTTGGCAGAGCCAGGTTTTGACACTCTTCCAGAAGGTCAGAAGAGAGGGGCCCTGCCTTACTTCTGGGGTGTGTGTATGTGCTCCATAAGGAAAGGGCAATGGCACAGAAATCTAAATTCTTTGATTGGCAGGGTCCACAAGATAGCCTCCCTGAGAGGGAGTGGATCGGGAGAGAGGAGTGGTAGAGGGGGAGGGGAAGTAGGGTAGAGGGGAATGATGGAGGGAAGATAGAAAGTTGGAGCGGGGTGGAAGAAAGAGGTGTATAGAGAGTGGAAGAGGTATATTGGGTTTCTATTTTGGGGGGTATTGTTGACAAGAGGAATTGCTGTGATTATTGTTTAATGTTGTATGGCCCCAGCTATGCACAGTATATATGTGAGTGTATGAAAATGAAAAAATGGAAAATAAAAACATTTTAATAACAAGATAGCCTCCCTGCCTGACTGGGTCAATGTAATTGGGACAAGATGATTCCTTACATCAGCAGTACCCAACCTTTCCAGCTTTGTGGATTGGAAGAGTGTGGAGTGAAGATGGTTCTGCATGGATAGACAATGAGCATGCATGCACAGATCCATTTATACATGTGGCGGGCACATGCACCCGCTGCTCACACAAAAGAAGCTGCATATGTATTTTGTATTTGTATTTGTTTATTATTTATAGGCCGCCCTTTTCCCTGAGGGGACTCAGGGCGGCTTACAATTTATGGGAGGGGAATACAAGACAAGACATGAGACAGTACATAAGTAAAAATAGAACACAACATTCATTCATCATTCGGGTGGGGATGGATTAGAATCTTTATCCCCAGGCCTGACGGGATAGCCAGGTCTTGAGGGCTGTGCGGAAGGTCTGGACGGTGGTGAGGGTGCGAATCTCCACGGGGAGATCGTTCCAAAGGGTCGGAGCTACTACTGAAAAGGCTCTCCTCCGCGTAGTTGCCAGTCGACACTGACTGGCAGATGGAACTCGGAGGAGGCCTAATCTGGGTGATCTAATAGGTCGTAGGGAGGTAATTGGCAGGAGGCGGTCTCTCAAGTGTGTGGGTTTCCATGGTCCAGTTCCAAATGGACCGTGGCCTGGTAGTGGGCTGTGGCTGTGGCCCAAGGGTTGGGGACCCCTACCTAAGGTAACCTGGTCCCATGCCATGTAGGACTTCAATCGTGATAACCAACCTCTTGAGTTGGACATTCTGGCAGAGGTGTTACACATGGAAACCTAAGGGCAGTAACTGAACAACAGTGACAACTCATTTTTAAAAATTCTGATTGATGATACAACTGTTTTAAAGAAGTGAAGATGGAGGATATGTTTGGAATTCTGGCTTTGAACTTGGCACACATATTCCCCTGATTTATGAAAGCCATAATCCATGTTAAAGATTTAGACTGGTTTTAATGTGTATTCCCTCTCACTGGAGTACTCTGGAAATGGGAATTCAGAAACAGAGAGGGATATCAATATTAAAAATAGCCTACACCAAAGTTAAGAAAACTCAGTGGAAGTCACCACTGGTTAAATTGGTAATACACATTCTGGTATAGATATAATTCTCTTAAGATCTGAAGCCAAGTGTGTTCTCCAGTTGTTGTTTTTTAAAAACGCTCCATTGCACATTCCGAAGAACAGCTAGCAGGATTTGTTCTGAAGTGATGTACAGCATGTAGTTGGAAGGAAAGGCTTTCTTTATAATGGTGCTAGCATTGCCCTGTACGCCGTGTTGCAGTAAGCACATTCTGCCCATTGCTTACCCCTCCCACCACCCCAAAATGCACAACTTGGACTTGGCCTGTCAGTGACTCACCAGACCTGTTCAGTGTCCATGGCTTATGCCAGTATTTTCCTTATTCTGTTTGCTCCATGGATCAAAGGTGACAGTAAGAAGGTCTTTGTAATAGTATTAGCAAGGAGACACAGCACATTTTTGCACATGATGGATGCCATGTATCTGATACGGGGCAATTTCCAAACACTGAGATTAAGCATAGTTTGTTTTCAACAGTTAGAGGGTGCATAAATTCATAGCTCAGCACAAAACAAAAGGGGAGGAGCAGGGGAGAAAAGGGGGGGGAAGAGGTAGGCTTGCTATGATATACGTGTCTTGACCTTGATTGTGAGCATGTTATTCAACAGAAACGCCCCTAGACTAAACTATAATACTCATAAAGATAGAGCAACACACAGCTGAAATGTGTGGCCAGAATTCCCCCCCCCCCATTTCAGTCAGGTTCGCTGCATTAAGTTGTCTCACAGGATATGAGAGTTGGATTGTATTTATACTGTTGGCGTTTGTTATATAATTAAAGGCCTGTAGAGTAAAGTGAAAGAATTGCCAAGGGGGGAGGGGCCCTGACATCAGATGAAGCTGTTTTTGCAAACTCCAACATGCGTTGCTTCCTTTTTTCTTTTCTTTTTTTTTCAAAGTGAAAGAAAGCAAGCATGCATTCAGGAGTACAGAAGTGCAGTTGAAGCCTATGGCTGTACCTCAGAAGTTAAGTCCCACTATGTTTTTGGAGGTAACTCTCAAGTAAGTATGTCTATGATTACAACATTTGCAGCATTTTTTTTTTGTAGTGGTGGATTATTCTGTATTTTGCATTAATTTCTGGTTTGCACAACACCCAAGCCATATTGCAGTTTGGCTTAGCATGTGATCCAAACCTAGACATCACATTATAGTTAAGATATAGTTTCTAGTGATGCCTTGGTTTTATTTGGATTAATTTAACATGTCTGAACTCAATGTAATCCCAGTTTATGGTTCAACCATCATTAGTCCAATACTGTTTTGTTCTCTTACTCTGGGCACTTGTAGCAGGTGAGACATGGACTCTAGCAACAGGTAGGGGACTGTTTTCTTCTCCTAGATCTGCATCTGGAGGGTATCTATTTTTTTCATTGTAAAAAAAATTAGTAGAGTTTGTTAATGATCAGAAAGACTTGAGGGCTATTGGTTAAAGAAGAGAACTGGTAAACTGTGGCCAGCTGTGGGGTTTGTCATATGATCTTCATTGGATAAGAACATCATTCATAGTTATTGCTAAGTTATTTTTAAGAGTTAGTAAATAGAAATTGATAGTAATTGCATATTATCAGCGCAAATAATGATATTACTGTGATAAATGTGAGGATGAAATTGATGGATTTCGATTTAACTGATTACTCTTACTGATATCTGGGTACATTTCTAGATTGTTCAATGATCTGGTAGAGATCAGGTTCTCTACAATCTCTACCCATGATAGTTCCAATCAGTTTCTTCCTTGACTCATCTACTTCTTTTATTGTTGTACTGCTGGACATTAAAGAGAGAAATCAAAAGACTGGTGACTATCAATGGACTTTCAGGACTAGTGGCTGGGAAGCATGAACAGAAAGGTTCTGTTGCATTCGCATCTTTTATCCCTAGCTATGTGATTGAGAATGAACTGGGAGATGCAGTTGAATTGAGTCAGGTTCTTCCCTTCATGGTGACACTACTGTAAAATGTTTTTCTCCCCTTGGGCACTTGAGGAAATGGAACAAAAGAACTTGGAACTACGTGGGTATCCAAGGATATTTTTGGAACCCCAAAGAATCCGTTCTAATAATGGAACTTGTTAGGATATAGAGGTGTCTGTTCCAGCACAAATGTGCCAATGAAGAACGCACTTCTGGTGAAAATGTTTCCGTTGGAAGTCTTGCTCCCTATTGAGAAAAGCCAATACCCTTCATTCTGTCAAATGGCACTTAACTGCTGCCATTCTCTGGAAGAACGAACATTTGTGTTATATTTTCCAATAGCAAAAACTGGGGTCATCAGGGTGTCTGCTGTTTCTAGCCAAATCCAGATGGGGTTTTCCTATAAACAAGTGCACACAGAATATTTATACAGGCAGTGGCACCTGACGCCTTAGCACTCAGGACATTCTATTGAGTAGCCACTCATACTATAAGTCACGGCCGTGCATTAAGTAAATATTTTAATATAGCCATGTCACTGTTTATTATGGAATGGCGTGGGCCCAAATGCTTGCCTAATGCTTGGTTAAAAAGTCAGTTTACACCATCCTTTACAGTGAATCAAAGAATGCATAAACGGGACTCTTTTGTTACTCAGAGCTCTGTTTACTTTACTTTTCTGTAAACCTTTCGAAACACTTGCTTATAAGAGCTGATAGAACCCAGATTTTCCCCTGTACCAAAGGTGTCCTTGATGTCAGTAAGGTACCACACAGAGTAATCAATGGAGTTTCCACTGAATAAGCACCAGCCTTCTCCTCTGCCCCTCCACAGCTTTGTTTAGAAAACAGAGCAAAAGGAAAGAATGAAGACGAACTGAAGCCTGAGAGCTTAAAAAAGGAGAGCAGCAAGGCATTGGCCATGAGAGTTGCAAATGCCCTGGCCGAAGCAGGCCAGTACTGGGGTTGCCCGATTTGCAAATAAATTCTCTTGCTGGGATGCCTGCAGGTGGCTACTTGAATCTGGTGCTGATTATTGAACATTTTGGAATGTGTGATAAATACAGAGATAGAGTGCAAGTAAGCCAATATAGCATCAGTTCTAAACATATATTTTGTATTGCAAAAGATTCTTCACTAAAGTGGAGTTTTCTGCAAAATCAGTGGACTTTTTAATACAGTAGCAGATAGTCCTGAATGCTCCAGGGAAATCTGGCAGATAGAGCAAATGTTATCCTGAAATCCTAAGGCATTCTTGTGAATCCTGTCCAATTGTTTCTCTAGTTACATTGGTGCAGATTTGTTGGCAGATGAGTAACCCTGTATGATCAATATGCATATTTCCTTAGTTTGAACAAGAAGTAGAATATGACGTCTCCTTTTTAGAAATTTGAAGGGATTCATTATTGATTACTGTGTGTCTTTAATGTTTGGAGATTGGTGCAAATGTAAAATATGGAAAAATCTATTTGAAGTTTCCAATTGCAAACATAAAGATGGTTTTAATTCTGCCTACTTCGGTGAAACTTTCTGAGCTGGACTATTCAAAACTATAAATATTCATGGTAACAATGCACCATGAATCTGTTTAAAAGGATTAACCTTACTCCAAAAAGATTGCCTGGTAAGAGATTATATGAAATTATGTGGGTTGTTCCCCCCTCAGATTAGAAGGACATTCTTATCCACAGAAATCATATTTGTGCTTTTAGAAATCTTCATATTTAATATTTTATTTGGCTTCCTTGGCTTTTCTTCATTTTCCCCCCAGATTCACATGTTTTGATTCTACATGGAGTTAAGTTGATATAGTCTGAAAAGTTTAATAATTTTATGCTTTGTAAATTTTATACTATTCTTTTAAGCATGGGTCTGCTTAATATTTTATTTACTCCTGAAATACAATGGCCAGAGACTGGTTTTGCTCTAGATCTATAATTACTAGATTACTAGATTTGTTTGAGGGATTATTTTGAGATATCAAAATCATATACAGCTCTGTAATATGTGATGAATGAATGAATAGATAGATAGTGTACAATATGTGTGAGGGTAATCATCTTGCTATTAAGATAAAAAGTTAAGACATATTGGAAGCGAATACTAAGGTGGCTAAATGAAATTATGTCAACTAAATTAAACCTCAACCCGAAAATTTTAGAAATAGCGGAAATGAATAGATTGACAATGCTGATTAACGAAAAAGAAGACACAGACTTCTACAAAGTCTGGGAGAAATTATACAAATGGTTTGATAAGAAAGACAATGAGAATTAAGATATATAAATGAGATATTTTATTAACTTAAAATAACTTAAGTAACAATTTAAATATACAATATACAAAGACTAAGTAACAAATGAGATAAGATATATATTAGAGGTGAGAATTCACCTACAAGTAATATCAATAGACTGCAGTGTTGAAAAAACTTTGATGATCTGATAGGAAAAATCTGTTATGAATGCCTGCATAGAATTAGTAACCTAGTTTTATACTAGGCAAGGTGAGATGAACTATGTATACATATGTATGAATTTTTGCCGTTTGCGCTGTAAATATGTAATGAGTTCTATTTCTTTTTTTTTTTTGTATTTTGTAAATCTTGCCTTTTTTTATAACCTTCAATAAAAAATTTAAAAATTAAAAAAAAGATAAAAAGTTCTACAGAGTTAAAGCAATGAATATTTTTAAAGAAATGCTGATTTCTCTCTCTCTCTCTCAAAAGACATAGAAGTGTCCCTTTCACAAGGGAAAATATTTCTTTTGCCACCTTGAAATACTTTTGTTAACATTATGAGATATGTATCAATCTCCTTCCTAAACAAAAGCAGGAAGTTATGTCAACATACTCCAGCAATGCATAAAAGCATACATTTTCATTTTGTAGCAACTGAACAAGTCAGAAGCAAAGAGTGGAACTGTATCAACCACAGAATGCTTTCAATGAAGGTATAATTGTATGGAGGTGGCATCCAAAAAAATCTAAAATGAATATATAAATGATATACATTTTGCAATATGCATCTATTCAGGAAATTGAAAGCATCCCCATATTTACCATTTCAAATATTAGCATATGCATTTATCTGTAGAATCAGAAGCTTTAAATGTTTTTGGTCAGGGCAACCTGGTCTACCGAATTATGGGATGGAGCATACTGCTTCTGTTTTCGCCTTTCAGCCCCAATCCAGAAGCCTCCACAATCAGTCGTTTTCGCAAAAAAACTATTTGTGTGTTAAATGTATGTTTTATTGACAAAGAAATCAGTTAGAGGCTTTAGTTGCAGAATATGTGGATGTTGAAACCAATTTCTCCCATTTTAGCCCAGCATATTGTGTAAACCTAGGCTTTGTGCTTAATTTATGCATTAGTGGCTCTGTATGATTGTCATGATAATTGAGCAATCTTCTTAATTTATAATTTACAATTTAATTCAATTTTCTTGACTTGCATGAAAAATTAACCACCAGGCTGAGTTTGCATGCTGTGCAAAGGCTAACATGATTTGGAATAATCATCATCATCATCATCATCATCATCTTATATACAGTGTGGCTTGTCTGCACAGTTGATATTAGAATCCAAACCCAGCAACTGGAATTAGCAGGCTACAATTACATACCAGTGTGTTTGGATATAAATTTAACTGGTCATTGTGGTCTTTATTTTTTGTAAAAAAATGTATCCCTTCATGCTGCAAACTGTACTACACGTTTATGCCCAGTCATCTTTCTTTGCAGAAACATTGCCCGTAGTCTAGATGTCACAACAACTGTGGTGTCATACGACATATTCTCCTATGAGCAAACTGCAGCTTTAGCCAAAAGCTCATTGTAAATATCAGCCCAGGCATGGAAACTTAGGAGAAAAGGTGGCTAAACATGGATGATGTTTCAGAGAAGGGACATGGGCTTGGAAGCAGATCAAGCAAGAATTCTGACAGCTTGAATGAGAAATGTACACCGCTCAGAACCAGGGTGGTCATTTAGGTAGCAATGCTTACTCCCCTTTGGTTTAACTGTTCTTTTACATGGAACTCAATGTACTCATAGGATAGATTGCCTTTGGCTCCCCTGGACATCTG